GCTCCATCCTTTCCCATTACAGAGTGGCTGAAAAATGGATTCCTGCAACCAGTCCATCCTCAGAACTTTCCATGTAAGATCAATTGGGAAATTATCTCCAGATCAATTGGGAAAATTCTGGTAAAGGTCTTTCGATCACTTTGATTGCCTTAACTTACATTAGGAGCCTCTACATTGCTTCAGGGCCTGGAATTGTGATTGGTAATACTGGTCATGTGTCCACCTATCATGGTGTGGGTGGGGCATTTAGGACACCGGAATTAAGTGTTCTACCAGGATTGTGTGAAGTGGGAGGAGTTTCTGAAATGTACAGATAGCAGAAGAGGAGAGAAAGGAACAGCATAAAGTTCCTAAGCCAAGCCCACTGTCCTCTCAAAGGTCCTCTTCTGGGTCAACTGACATTATATTTTCCTCAGTCTCTTCCTTGTTCAAATGCCAAAAGTTCCCAAATATTCTCCTACCAGAGTTTCCACACTAAATTTACACTTTTTAAAAAAATTGAGCATAGTCACTGAATTTTTTCCCCTCTTCTCCTTCTAGATCTATATTTTGGACAGTCCCCCAAATATATCAAGATCTTTTTCTAAACAAAAAGCCAAGTTTTTTTCCTTAGGGAGAATCTTTTCGTTCTCTCAGGGCAATAGTTCAAACTGCAACTAACTTCTAAATATCAAGTATTTTTTTTCCTTGATCTCTGATTATGCACAGAAAGTAGTCCTTCCCTTCAATATGGTAGTCCATAATACTAAGATTAACAAGTGGTTACCTCTGGGTGGTGTGATCCTGAGTAATTTTTATGAATTTTGTTTGTTATGTTGTATGTTTCCTTTTTGGATTATTTCTACAGTTAACAAATGAAACTAGTTCAAGTCAAAACAGGAGAAAAGGATAGCAGCCTGCTGTGTTACCTTTTATCAAGAAATGCAAAAATTACACAACCGAGTGTTACTCAGCAATAAAAGAGAATTAAATCATGGCATTTGCAGGTAATGGATGGAGTTGGTGTTATCATGCTAAGCGAAGTAAGCCAATCCCAAAAAACCAAAGGCTGAATGTTTTCTTTGATGAGTGGATGCCAATCCAATCAGGTGGGGCATGGGATGAGTGGAAAACTTTGGATGGGGCAAAGGGGAAGGGGGAAGGGGGCGCATAGGGGTAGGAAAGATGGTGACATGAGATGGGCATCATTACCCTAGGTACACGTATGATTGCATGAATGGTGTGACCCTACTTTGGGTACAATCAGAGAAGTCAAAAATTGTGCTCCATTTGTGTATAATGAATCGAAGAGCATTCTGCTATCATGTATAACTGATTAGAACACATAAATAAATTTTTAAAAAACCCCAGAAATATTATATCTATAAGAAATATGCATCAACACAATAAAGGCTATATATTACAAACCCACAATAGCCAACATCATGCTGATTGAAGGAAACACTGAAAACCCTTTTTTTCTAACACCAGGAACAACACAAGGGTATAGTGGCGGTTACCAGAGGCTGTGGAGAGTAAGGTTAAGAAGAGTGGGGAAAGATTGATAAGGGATAGTGAGTTACAGTGAGATAGGAGCAAGACGTTCTGTTGTGTTATTGAACAGTAGTATGACTCTATAGATAACAAAAATGTATTCTACACTTCAAAAATAAATTATTTTGAAAGTTTTACTATGAAGAAATGATAAATGAGAATATAGATACCTTTACCATGAGTTAAAAATTACACAATGTCTGTATGTATCAAACCATCCTATGGTACCCCTCTTAATATGTACTATATGTAAGTTTTTATGTATCAGAGAAAATAAATTTAATTAAAAATCTCAAAAAAAAAATGTGAACTGGAGACTATCATGCTAAGTGAAATAAGCCAATCCAAAAGTTCTTTCTGATATATGGATACTAACACACAATAAGGGTGGGGGAGGAAGCATAGACGTTCATTAGATTAGGCAAAGGGGAATGAAGAGAAGGGAGGGGGGATGGGAATGGGAAAGACAGTAGAATGAATCGGACCCTACTTTCCTACGCTCATATATGAATACACCACCAGTGTAACTCCACATCAAGTACAACCACAAGAATGGAAAGTTATACTCTATGTATGTGTGATATGTCAAAATATACTCTATTGTCATGTAAATCTAAAAAGAGACAAAAAAAAAAAAAAGAAAGAAATGCAAAAATGCAGCCAAGCATGCCCTGACCCCTGGGTTCAATTCCCAGCATTTCAAAAAATAAAATAAGAAATGCAAAAATGCTCCTTCAAGCCCCACCCCCAGTCTTCAATTTAAGTCTCATTGGGTAGACAGTGTCACATCACCACAACCACTTCAAGAGTGAGTAGAAAAGGGAGTATTTCATTTTTCCAGCTTCTATAGCCTGAGTGGCCACAGCGAGGGACTTTGAGGATGATCTGTGCTGTGTCTGCAGTAGTGGAGCTAGGACACAAGGTGAGGAGAGAGAGCTTGGGCAATTTCTCTCAGTCTGGGGTGGATATTATCAGTTAGGGGCCTGACCCTGGGTGTCCAGCAGAGACTCTAGGATAACACTTGGAGCTCTGTTTTCTCATAAAGGCTTATGGATCAAAATAAGCCTGCCCTATGTACTTTAGTACTTTGTAGCAATGGTAATTATTACCTATTTACAAGAGGCTCTTTTTTAATAAAGTGTTACAATCTTTGTTTTATGGTTTAAAAAAAGCAAACTCAAGAATATTAGTCTTGGGAACAAATTCACATCTTAAAGAACACTGAATCCTCCTTCCTTCCCACTAGGGCGCTCAAGGACTCTATACTCCCTCAAGGGAAGTGAGACTTCTGCCCACAGGTTAACTCTTCTTGTCCTGGATTGTTCTTGAATCATGGCTCAGATGGGCTGGAAAGACTTCCCCCCTAGGTCTTAGACCTGGTTCAGCTTCTCTCTCTCATTACTGTATGAGCAGATCTGTGCTCTGGGTCACTGGCCCACGGTCCTCTCAATGTGTATCCAGTATCTGTGAGAATGCTTAGAAAAGTTTAAAAATGCTCTCTATGAGCAAGCGTTAATATATAGACATACTTCTGCCTCATCCCTACAAGGAATATGCCTCAACACAATAAAGGCTGTATATTACAAACCCTGCCTTCACCCTTCTTTTTTTCCAGAAAAAAAGTCAGCATCCAACCCTGTGGCTGGCAGATGCTTAGACCATCACTAATTAGGTTGAGGGGAGGATGCCAAGATGAGGCTATTCTGTTCAAGCCCTGGCTCACTATTTGTTTACAGAAGAAATGTTTTAAGGTGGGGGAGAGGAAGCTTGCCAAGGATGTTTAACAGGATCTTGTAAACAGTTGTATTCAGAACAGTCGTTAGTGTTTTTACTCTTGGGTTCTTTATTTTAAAGAACTGGAAAACTGAGCTGGAATTGCAGGTAAGAGTTCAGAAGTGTTCACCAGCATCATTCCTGGCTGCATTGATAGATATTATTAGTGGCCTTTCCAATATCCATCCTTTCCGTGTGTGTGTGTGTGTGTGTGTGTGTGTGTTTTACTAGGGATCAAATGCTGGTTGCTGGTGCACTTGAATCACTGAGCACATCCCAGCCTTTTCAATTTTTTAATTTTGAGACAGAGTGTTGTTAAGTTGCCCAGCCTTGCCTCAAGTTTGCAATCCTCCTGCTTCAGCCTCCCAAATTGCTGGGATTACAAATGTGTTCCAACATGCCTGGCTCTTTCCTTCTTGCTTTTTCTTTTCTTTTTGGTTGGTTGGTTTTTGCAGTGCTGGGGTTAAACCCAGTAGGCAAGCACCCTATCACCCAGCTGCACCCTCCAGGCTTTCCTTCTTAGCAACTGTACCCCATGCCCAATCACAAATGGACACTTTCCCAGATTCCCAGATTCACTTAGTGTTGGCCTTGTGACCCATTCTGGCCAGTGAGATGTAGATGAAAGCTGCTAGTGGGGACTTCAGGGCAGTGTGTGTGTGTGTGTGTGTGTGTGTGTGTGTGTGACCCCCCCCCCCTTTTTTTTGTATTTTATTTAGAGACAGGGTCTGAATTGCTTAGTGCCTCTCTTTTGCTGAGGCTGGCTTTGAACTCGTGATCCTCCTGCCTCAGCCTCTTCAGCCGCTGGGATTATAGGCCTACACCACCTTGCCTGGCATGTGTGCGTAAACCTTTTTTAAAAATATTTTTTCAAGTTGTAGATGGATACAATACCTTTATTTAATATATTTTTTAAAATTATTTTTAGTTGTAGTTGGACACAATACCAATGTAGGTATTGTGTCCATTTTTATGCTGTGAACCCAGCACCTCACATGTGCTAGACAAGAGCTCTACCACTGAGCCACAGCCTCAGCCCCATGTGCAAACCTTTTTAAAAGGAAAGTCTGAGCTGGCATTTGCCTTTGGCTTGAGCACTTGCTCTAGCTGCCTCCCTCCCACCTCCTTTCCCCCACTACCATTGAAATGCAGATTCAGTCCCAGAATTGTCTCCTGTCTCTGGAGCCAAGTGCTAAAGATAGCAAAGTTGAGAATACAGAGGGACCCTAAATCCTTAACAGCATTAGGGAACTACTTGAATAGCCCAGGATTACCCACCTTTGTCTATTTGGTTCATCTGTTACCAAGTTACTATTCCATGCAATCTGACACCATCTTAACTGAGAGACCATTAAGACATTTATGAGCTACCTTAGCAAATGGATGTGAATTGATATAAACTGACGGGTAGTGTCCTTTGAAACAGTGCTGCTCAAAGTTTCCTATGAATTAAAACCATTTGGGGACCTCAGTAGGAATGTAGAATCTGATTCCATAGGTCTGGATTGGGGTCTGAGATTCTGGGAGTCTCCCACTACCAGGCTTCACTGCTAATGCTAATGACTGGTCTTGGACCACACTTGGAAAAGCAAGGATTTGGAAAATGACAACTCTCAGTTCCTAGGAAGAACTGTTCTGATTCTCTTTGATATGTTTCTTATTAGGTTAAAAAAATGTGTAAAGGACTCAATGCATTTTCAACAAAAAGTTAAGGTTTTATTTAGAATACCATTTCGGAGACAAAAAGCAGTTCATTTTATTTAGCAAAATAAATTTAACAAATGCATTAAATAAGGTAAATTCAAGACTTTTTGAATCTCTGGAGTTGCATTTTGGTTGACGTCTCTTCTAATCCATCGGGGTTCTTTCCCAATTAATGCAGCTATATGCCAAGGAACTGTTTTATAAAATCTGAATGACTCAAATACACCTCTGTATTCTCACCCAACCAAAAATGTATCAAAATGAAACATAAGGAGAAAAACTTAGGTAAGGAGATTCAGAAGGAAATGCCTTCCCTGCTCCATCATGTTATCTTTTCAACAGAGGCCTTGCTTGTTTTGAAATGGATGGTAAAAGCAAATTGTCATTGGGAGGTGAGGGTCCAAAGCAAACTTAGATGGCTTTCACACCATCTGTCATTCCAACCCAGAGGGAAACCAAGCCACACTGAGTTCCCAGCCAAGCCACTGCTTTATATGGAAGTTGAGGTTAGCTTCCGGTTGTTATTTTCTAGTTATATACAGCTAAAAAAAACACAACACTGTGTTAAATCCAGGACAGCTAACAATGGAACATACATCATTACACTGAAAAGTTGAATCGGCGTGGTGAAGTTGAGGAGAATCAGCAGACGGACCTCACGGAGGGGAGCTGCTGGTGCGGGGCCTCCTTAGTCTGTGACAGATCTGCACTCTGAGGGCAGGCCTTCCGACTGCCGCCACTGGGCCAGGCGCTGTTTAAACCATTTCTGGAAGAGAGAAGTGGGCAAGATTATCTGTCACATACTGAGAAACTGAAATGCCTGTTTACTTTCTAAAACATAGCCTCTGTGGCCCAGTTGGGAAGGAGGGAAGCAAGGGATGGGTTCATGGTGAAACGTTTCTCACATTTCACCCAACTTTTCTGTCTCAGGACATTTGCACAGTCATTTCCTATGCTTAGAATGGGCTATATTCTTTATCTGAGGGTCTTTCTGTGATCCACAGTTTTCAGCTTGAATAGAACCGTCTTGATGAAGTCTTCCTGACCACTCTTATCAAAAGTAGGTTCTCCTTATAGCTTTTAGTACCTTGTTGCCTTCTTAGAACTTTTAATATATTTAAAAAAATTATTTGCTTATGCATTCACTTTTCTTTTTGTTTTGTTTTTGGTACTCAGGAGTGAACCAGTGGAGTATTCTACCATTGAATTACATCCCCAGCTCTTTTTATTTTTATTTTGAGACAGGGTTCTCACAAGTTGCTGAAGCTGACTTTGAACTTGCCATCCTCCTGCCTTGGCTTCCTGAGTCACTGAGATTATGATTGTATGCCACAGTTCCTGGACTATTCACTTTTTAAAAAATCTATCCATCCTTCTAGAAACAGAAACTGTTTTCATATCATCACCATTGCATCAAGAGTTAGAGATTAATCAATATTTGTTGAATGAATAAAAGGAATTAAAGACATTGCTTGATGCTCAGATAGATCTCTATGGCTGATCTACTGTGGGCTTTGCTCATTGACAGCTAATTAGTAAGAATTTGATGAATAAAATGAATGGTAACTGAGCACTAGACAACCTGGCAGCACTCAGGGATCTGTGGAGTGGGCCAGCCCCCTCTCTCCTGCTCCAGGGCCACTGAGCAGTGAGAGAAGATGGAGAGGACCTAAGTTTATTAGAATCTTCCAGCTCTGTATGACTCACGTAGTCACATCTCATAGTGATCATGTGCCGGGCGAGGTGGCACAGATCTGCAACCCAGCAGCTCAGGAGGCCAAGGCAGGAGGATTGTGAGTTCAAAGCCAGCCTCAGCAAAAGCGAGGCACTAAGCAACTCAGTGTCTCTAAAGAAAATACAAAATAGGGCTGGGGATGTGGCTCAGTAATTGAGTGCCCCTGAGTTCAATCCCCAGTACTGCCCCAAAAAAAGAAGTGGCCATAATTTGGGGAATCTCCCCGATGGCATGCTTCTAGACCTGGTACCATAGGAAGACTAAAACATTTTGATGTGTTGTGATAATGCAGTATGTTACTCTCCTAGTCCCTGGCTGTCTTTGTTATGCTATGGAGTGGGTGAGAGTTCAGGAGAAGCATGCTGGGAATAGGGCTGGGGTCTGGACCAGGTTGATCAGGATTTAAGAAGTTGGGATTTAAGAAAACAAATTGGTAGGGTGTGGTGGTTCATGTCTGTAATCCCAGATACTCAGGGCTGACGCAGGAGGATTGTAAGTTTGAGGCCAGCCTCAAATTTAGTGAGATCCTATCTCAAATAAAAAGTAAAAAGGGTTGGGAGTATAGCTCAGTGGTAGAGCCCTTGCCTAGCATGCATGAATCCCTGGGTTCCATCCCTAGTACTGCCAAGGAACCCCCCCCCCCCAACAAAACAAACAAAAAACCCCAAACAAAACAAACAAAACCCCCCCAAACAAACAAAACTTTGAAGAGGGAGCAGACAGAACAGGTTAGCTTGACAAGGAAGTCGGGATCCCCAAGCTCTGTCCACCTCTGTGCTTCCCAGCGGCTCACATGTCCTGGTACACATTGGGAATAATGGTAGTGCCTGTCACTCAGTGTAAACAGGCAAGCTGCTTGGGGAGGTGGCCCAGGGCTCTGCAGCACTGGGCCCTTCCACCAGAAAGCTATATTGTAACTATTAGTTATGAAAACTTGAAAAAAAGTCCCTAAAAATAGAGCATCACTCAGCTCTTCTATAAATGAAGTAAGCTTGGTGGTGGGGGATGTCTCTACTCTCCCTTCTGAGCTTTCTGAAACTCACTCCTTCTAGGGGCAAGGGAATGAGGGGACAGAAAGGAAACAACAGAAACAGCCCAGCTCTGAGACACCAGACCTGGGATGTGCTGATGGAGGCGGTGCAGAGGGAAGCATCTAGAGTGGCTCCATGCTTAGCATGACCTGATGGCTGCTCAGATGCAGTTTCAACCTCAGAACAGTGGGCCAGGCTCTAGGGCCATACTGGGGAAGATCTCATCTCTGTAGAGATCTAGAGATCTGAAAGGGAGTTTTAGTGTCAGCTCAAGATCAGAAGAAAGTGGGAAAAGCACAGGAGCAGAAGTGCCTGTAAGGACAAGTGCTGGAGGACAGGCTGTGGCGCTAGAAAGGGTGTGAGGCTCGAGGATGGCTTGGGGCTCTGTGTCAGTGCTAGGCTGGATGAACATCACAGGGCCACACCACATCGCCCCGATTGGTACAGCAGAGGTGTACCTCACGGCCACACACAGCTGTCAAGGTCAGTTGTCTATCCTCCTTTATACTGGGGGGTGGCAGCAGAGAAAAGGAATCTAAAGCCAGAGCAGAGGCCAGCAAGATGGGAAGGGAAGCCCTTTCTTTGGGGGTTGCTCTCTGGATGCCATATTTTACTCCTGGGGATCACTAATCTTTGAGAAGAGAAAGCTCCCATAACTTTGGTGGCTTCAACCCAAGTTCTGTGAAAGTTGGGCACATTTTCTTCTAGAATCCATATGTGTGTTCAGCTAACTCTGGGTTCTGGCCTGAGCACAGCGTGACACCAGCTTCCTTAATGAGGTAGCCCTGTGGGGGTTTCGAGGCCTCAAGTGCTGATTAAATAGGATTTCCAGTGACCAGAGCCCAATAAATGACAGCATTTTAAAGACTGACTAATTAAAACCTAGAGGAGGAAAATCTCACTTTCTATCAGAACTCATTTAAGACAAAATGGTTGAGCTGGCCCCATTCAAAAGAACCACCCACATCTTTACACTATGGAGTGAGGTAGAATATTGATGGCATTACCGAAAATTGCTTCAGCCTGTAACACGTTTGCGAATTTGCAAGTTGGCATCCAAATGTTTAACCAATTGAGTTCTAGCACTGGGGGATGGGAGTAGGTGCCAGAAAAGCTCAACTTTTTTTTCCAAATATATATATATATTTTAAAATCAAATACATACATAATAATTTAACAAACCAGTTGCTATCCAACAAAAACCATTAAATCCCTCACTTGCGCCACCCCCCAACACAGTGGAATCTTATATGTCTCAGTTCTATGAGACATATAAGAGACATATAAATCTATGCTGAGAGAGACATATAAATCTATGCTGATTTTCCACCTGGCTTTGTCCTTCCCTCCGTTTGTTTCTGTCATCCCCTGGGAAAGATATTCATCCCTAGCTTGCTTATAAATGCGTGCCCTCATTACCCTCACCCTCTGATGGAGATTTATTTACTCTGATTGAACAGATGATAATGAGACACTGGGATGGGAGGAGTTAGTGCAAAATAACATTGTTCGTATCCTTTTCTCTAGCAACTAACATTTCATTCTTTTCACGGGGAGACCTTTAGAGGTCTTTATTCCACAGATAAAACATCCAACAACTAAAAACCACTGGGTTCTGGGAACAAGCCCAAAACATCAAGAGGAGATTAAAAAAAAAAAATACTGGAAACTTCTCCAAGAACCAATGCCAACTACACTGCACTTCAATTGTGTGTGTGTGTGTGTGTGTGTTCGTAAAATAGAGAACACTAGATCATCCTAGGCTCCCAAAGGGCTGATGAAAGAGCTTTCCCAGCCCCTTCTAACACTGACTTCAAAATGATAAAAAGCATTCTAAATGGGTTCAACTAACTTAAATGTAGGTGATGTTTAGGTTACTATCTAAAGAGGGAAAAATCATTCTAGGACCCTAATACAACTTAAAAAAATTAGAGCATCCTTCATGTCACTCTGAATATCTGCCTGCCCACCCCCCCATAGCAAAGAGTTTTGTCCTACAGTGGGACAGCTATAAAGAGAGCTGCAGATTCTTTTGTGGTTGGTTCATAAGTGTAATGACTAGGTTTTTTCACGCCATCATGAGAGATGTGTCTTCCTCAAACTTGTTAGGATGTCAGTACATTACTCAACTGATGTAAGGAGGGTTGGAGGAAAAAACAAGAGGTCCACAACCCCTACCCCCCAGTCAGAGAATGTGTCTACCTTTTGGCTCCTCTTGCCCCTGTCAAATCATCAGTAGTGAGTCGTTGCAGGAACTGCCTCATAAGAATACCTCATGCTTATTTTTCTTGTTGTAAAGTATTATTTGTTGTAGGAAAATTAAGTGTGATGCTATCTGGAGGTGGCTGGTGTTAGGGTAGGGTGAAGATTCGGGTCTATGTGATGAATATTATTTTGGCTTTGAACCTTGCTGTGTGAAAAGAGCCACACTGGTGAAGAACAGAGACAGGGATGTGTTGATACAGATCCTGCTTATATGTGGGCCCAGCGGGCCTTGGCCCCCATGGAGCTATTCCAAGGTCCCCAAAAGAACTGCTACAAATAAAAATGATTTCATGAATGCCTGAAAGTTCATCATTGGACACTATATCTCCAAAAGATGCTTTTCTTTTTTGTAGAAGACACTTTTTAAAAAAATGTATAAGTTGTTTGAAGAGATTAGAGAACCATTCCTATCTCCTAGTATAGATGAAGATGGCAGGAGTGGGGGGCAGAAAGATTGGGAAGATGAGACCCAGTCTAGTAAGAAGTGACCAAGGACAGGCTGTCCGAGGAACCTAGGGGTCTTCTTTCCTGAAACTTGCTAAGCTGTTTCTCTTTGAAGCTCTGTGTTCCAGATGCCTCCCTGCAGGTCTAGGCAGGAAGACAGAGGCAGGCTGAGCTGTGGTAGCCGCAGGGAGGAAGAAGGTGTTGGCCCCATGGCAGGAAGAGGAAGCCAAGGGGCCCCTGCTATGAGGCTGACTCACCCACACCCACTGCTGTCAGGGCTGGGTCTACCATTTGTTTATTTGAGGATGGCAGAAGAGAGGGAATGGAGGGAGGGCTGCCTGAGAGGGGCAGGTGGATCTGATGTGTAGGTGTCTGTGCTGCAGACCTCAACCACAGAAAGAAGCAGGTGCCTTTCTTTCTGTGCCTACCCCAATTTAGTTTTTATTCTCTAATATCAGGTAGCTCTCGAGGAACGGTTGACTATGGCCTGGAGTGATCATTGTTTAATGCATGGAATTTTTTTTTTTTTCAGAACGAAATATGAGTTTTCAGTCCTTTCCTCCTACCCACCCCGTTGTTTCCGTCCTTCCTCTATCCTATAGAGGTCAAGAGTCTGGAATGTGAAACCAAACTTCCCAGGTTCAAGTCCTAGCTTGGCTGCCCCCTAACTGTGATCTTGGGCAAGTTAACCTTTCTAAGCCTCAGTCTCTTATCTAGACAATTGGGCTAATGCCGCAGTCCGAGGGTAATGCATCTTGACTTGTTTACAGACCCTAACAGGCTAACAGTACCTACCCTCATGCTATGGTGGCAAATAAATAACAATACTTAGAGGATTCCTTGAACAACACATGGCATGTATTATCCATTCCAAAGATCCACACAGGGCTGGGGGTGTAGTTCAGTGGTAGAATAGAGTGTAAGTTTAACATGCTTGAGGGCTTGGGTTTGATGCCTAGCATCCATCTAACTTTCTCTTTTTCTCTCTCTCATACACACACAATATACACAGACACAAAACAGTGAACAACAAATATCAACATAATTACTCGGCTTTACAAGTAAAGGGGTTAAAGCTAACTTGCCATGGGACAATCAGACACTGAGAAGGGATTACCATCCCTTGTTGGTACTGTCCCTACAGTATCCTACAGCCTTAAAATGATGAGCTGTCTCTATAATCATTCCTCTTTCCTAAATATAGCATGGGGTTTAAAATGCTCAAACTTCAGTAGGCTGCCTCCTCAGGGTGTTCCAAGAAACATGAGCTGTTAGACTTGGGTTACAATAAATCACCTCCCGTGTAGTTCTGGTTCTGGTTAATCAGACAGCTGTTCCATTTCCTAGAAACAGATATGTTTGCCTTTCTACTTGATCTGTGAAGGAGAAGATTATCCATGGGCAGGTTTTCCAAAATGCCTCTGGCTTAATTAGCAGAAATTATTTTGGGTTTGGGTCCAGGGTCTTGGTTCTAGGATCCTAGGGAGTGTGGATTACAAGGTTTTAAGCTTCAAATGAGCATGGTGAGGAGAGGACAGAGTCCCTGGTGCTCTAGAAAATGGGAATAGTAACAATGTCCTTTGCTTTAGCTTTGAGATTAGAGGTGTGAAGTGCTTTGGGTTCGCACAAGAAATGCTAGTTCAGTTCCAAGTAGTTTATCACTAATAACAAATTGTCTTTTCATGATGGAAGGAAAAACAGAAGCCAGAGTTTGGACAGGGTTTATTAAAAAAAAAAAGTCAGCTAAAGACTCCAACATTGCACATAGGCAAGTGCTGCATTCTCTAAGCAATGTGGGGGATTAATAAGAGAGTTCTTAAAAAAAATCAGAGCACTTAAGGGGTATGTGCTGCCAATTCTCCTCCAGCTGTGTTGTCAAATGTCTTCATTGTTGAAAAACTCCAGAAAAAGACTCTAAACCTTAAAACCAGGGAATTAAAAAAAAAAAAATCTGAGCCAAATTGGCCTGGCTAGGTACAATTTCAGTTTTGCAGCTAAGAGGGGCATGCTGTGGTGAAGAAAACACCCTTAAGGACCCTTGCCATCCTAACAACTCCCTCCCTCTGGGCCTTAGTTTCCTCATTTGCCAAATCTGAGGACTGAATTTGTTGCTAAATTCTAAGGTCCCTTCCAACTGTGACATCCCCTTTGAGAATAGATGCTCCTGAAGTTCTCCCGCCACAGCCCGGAGGGGATACCAAGCTGCCAGGGAAATCGAAACAAGAGCAGGCGACCGACGCGGCTCCCAGCCCAGAGGGAGGACAGAATTTATCCCTGGCTGTGTGAGAGAGAGAGAGTGGAAAAGCGGGGGACATAAAGGTGACCATGGTGCCTTCGCAGATCCTGGGGCAACCACCGCAGGCTGAGGGTAGAGGGCAGACGGGGCGCCCTTGGGAACCAGGGAGCTGGGCTTGCGGGGGTGGCAGCGATACAGGGTCCGGGCTCTAAACCGCCGGCGATCAGGCGAGGGCGCGAGGCGGGAGGCGACCGGGACTCCTCCGCCCTAGCAGGTCCGGCCCCGGGCACGTGCGGCACTCACCTGGGTCTCCTCCTCCGAAAGGCCGGCCTCGGCCGCGATGAGGCACAGCGTGGTGGGGTCCGGGTGCTTGTTGACCTTGTTGAAGTTGTACTCCAGGATCTCCACCTGGTCCTCCGTGGGGCCGCTCGCCGTCTCCGCTGACATGGTCCTGGCGCGGCTGCAGGGAAGCGAGAAGCGGCTGCCGTGAGCGAGGCCGCGGGCGGGGAGCACCGGAGGGACCCAACTTCTTTGGGACGCGGCTGGACCACTGTGCTCGGCTGTCCCCTCCCGCTGCCCAGCTGCGCGAGTCCCCGGTGGCCGCAGGCAGCGGCGGGAGCTCGCGAGCGCCCTCCCCGGGGCCGACCTTCCCGGGTTGCACAAGGGGTCGCACAGCGGAGCGGCGCGTCCTCCTGCCTCGCAGGACTGGTCCCCGCGACTTCCCCGACCTAGTCTAGGCTGGTGCAGAGGAAGATGGCACCGCGCCCTCGCCTCCCGCCCTCTCCGAGAGGTGCTTTTGAAAACTCGACTTAAAAGCTATCTCCCGGGACGGAGAGCTCCCAGGGTGAGGACGACAGATGGGAGGGTGGGTTCCCTCAAGTCCGCTGCGGCCACGCCTCCCCCGCGCGTTCTTGGCAGCCTGCGCCAGGGAGGGCTGAGCACCCACACTTCCTCCGGAAAAACTTCCCACCAGGGCAGGCTACCTCTGAAAGTTGGAGAAGTGGTGATGCGCTTTTAAGATCTTTCTGTTTTACAGAGATGAAGACAGGTTTACAGAGCATAGGGGATTTAGGATGGGAGACTGAGTCACCTGCAGGGCTTGCGTGGGCCACTCTGAACCCTGTAACCTCCTCCTCCAACTGTCCTGCCTACTCTCTCTAATGCAATCCCTGAGTCCTCAAGACTGCAGCCTCTGGGCCAGTATTCCACAGTAAATGGTAAAGAGCCCACTTCATTAAGTGCCCCCCCCCCCAAAAGTAATCACTTCCAAGATGAAGCCCACACTCAGGAGGATCAAAGTCAACTGTCATTTAAAACCTCAGACTTCCCCTGTGATGGTAGTATAGACTTCCTATAAAGTCACGTCCACCATAAATGACATTAAGCCTTTCTTTTAGAGCCAAACATTGCCCAGATTTGGGACAACATGACTGCCTGCTACTCCGTCTTTCCATACCTAGGCAGCCTTCAAATTGGGGCAAAAAAAATTGGCAGATGTGCCCCCTCTCCCAATTTAAGTTGTATCCAGGTGTAGAAAGTGAGCCTACAAGATATTCTTGACTGTGGATTTGGTACAGACCTGTCAGGACTTGACTGTTACTGACAGTAAAATAAAAAACAAGTGTAGGAATTATGAAATCACATTGGTTTGTTGTTTTAACAAACAATTGCAAAATCATCCAGCACAATCCTGAGTAGGTTTTGATGTGGTTTGTGCCTGGGGATGAGCCACACTCCCCTAATCTCCCTGTATCATGTACCCAATGCTGTTACAACCTTTTCTTCTGTGACCTGAATCGTCTTCTCCCTAAATAAATGTCTTTGCCTTTCTACTAGGTCACCTTAAGGAACTTCAGGCAAGACAAGAAGCTGCAATACTGTGAGCCAGTCATGTTCAAATCGCTTGCCAGCTGTGAAATCATGTGTTTTGAGGGAACTGTGCTTCCCCACCACCATCACCTAAAAATCAGTAGCAACAATTCCTGTCTCAACACTGAGGCAGGAGGGGGGTCAAGCCACCTCTGAAACAGCTCCTCCCCTGTTTGCACCCATGTCTCAGCTGTCTTTGACACACAACTCCAGAGTTGGAAAGAGCCTTCCAAATTACCTCCTGCAGTCTCTTCTGTCACAGTCCAGGAAAATGGCTAACTTTCCCAATGCTTCCCAGTTAGTGACCAGCATCCTAGAATGGAAAGCCTTAGCTTTGGATTCAGCCCATGTTTGGCTTACCCCTTCTCAGCAGGCCAGTCTGTCTTCAAAGAGACCAACAGTCTAAATGCAGGTGGGGGCTTGTCATTTTGAATGGGCACGAACTATCCTAGTGGTGACACCACTTCAGGCCACAGCTGCCCACTGAAACCACCTACCACTACTTATTTTGCCTAGAAGAGACCAGGACAGGGAGACTACTGCTTCTAATTTTATTTCTTGCTCTAGAAAGTTTTCGTCTAATTCCACTTGATACTGTCGTGCTGGCTATGCCTTGAGGATCTCTGCTGCTGCTTTGTAGAATCCTCAGTCCTTCAGAAATGTTAGATTTCTAAACTAGATTCAAGATTGAAAGGCTGTTCTGTATATATTTCTTCCTTTCTTTTTGTTACCACTGTTATATAACTCAAGGGCTGCTTATGTTCTTACGTGGGTCAGGTGCGTTCTATTTTATTAGATTTCTGTGGCTTACTGTTAGAGGACTTTGTTTGAGGTTTCATAGGGAGGTTGACTTTAAAGTACTCCTTGGATTAGTTGGCAGAAAGCCATTGGTTTTGGTTGGCAGTTAAGAAGATCTGTGGGAGGGCCATTTGACAGCACCTACTTCTCCAAGGTACACCCAAATAAACTTGCTTGGTTTCTAGAAACATAGGCAAAAGATCTCTACCGTCAGATATATTTGTTATTTCTCTACAAAGCTCAATCTCTGTTATTTCAGCCCTTGGTGGTTGACAAATGTTTGCTGTTGCTTCGTTTCTTCTCTCTTTTCCTCTTACTGTATAAAGGTTAGCCCTGCTAACCTTGGCCTTAGAAAGCGTCTCAACAGTTTCTAATAAGGAAATGATTAAGAAGTTTCTCTGAAGGTAGTCTAAACAATTTCAGATAAAAAGAACTAAAAATATTTTAAAGCTACTTAAACTTTAATCTTAGCACAGGTTTTGTTTTTGTGGTTATTCACATCTTATGAAACATTCAAAGAGTAATGTGTCCTGTGATTGTATTTTTCTTTCATGGTTTGGTCAAGTCATTGCATAAATATTTTCAAGAGGTTAAGTGAACACTGGGCAAAGTAGTGTACGCCTGTAATCTCAGTGACTTGGGAGATTGAAGCAGGAGGATGGTGAGTTCAAAGCCAGCCTTAGCAATTTAGCGAGGCCCTAAGAAACTCAGCAAGACCCTGTCTCTAAATTAAACAAAAAAAGGGCGGGGCTAGGGATGAGGCTCAGTGGTAAAGGACCTCTGGGTTGAATCCCTAGTACCAACAACAACAACAAAAAAAGAGGTTAAGTAAAAACTGCTGGTTTTTCCTAAATTAATTCTAATGACAGAGTAGACAGTTGTGTCAATCTGACAACTTTACTTCTACCTTTATAAACTAGCTCAGGGAAAGTGCTACCAACTGGTAATCTGTAGTTACCGTTTTTTGGCATCTTTTCCTTCCTCTCCCAGCTAATCTGACCTCTTTGTAATGCCACCAATATGAAACCAAGAAACAGAGATTATCAACAGCAGATCCTCTCCCAAACTGGCCAAAAGGGAAACAAGCAGGTGGATGTTTCTTTAGGACCTTCTTTATATTCAGAACAACAAAACTCTGGCCCAGCCTTTGCACTGGCCTGGAGAGGCAGATCAATATTCCACCCCTTTTTGTAAAGAATTTTTTCTTTTCTTTCACCTATGTTTCTTTTATGTCTCTGTGAACTTCCTGTGAACAATGGGCTCTTGAAACATATTATATTTTGCTAAGTGAGAAAATTGATGTGTGGCCACTTCCCTAGTCAAATGGTGGGAAAAGCACTTCCCACTCATCACTGATTGAGCTGATCTGGAGCAACTAGGAGGGGGCTCACCCAGGCTGTCGGTGTCTCTCAGAAATTGATAAAAAGAAGGACTGGGGCTGCAGCTCAGTGATAGAACCTTGCCCAGCATGCTACACCTTGTGTTCCATCCCCAGCCCTGCCAAAAAAGAAAAGAAAAAAAAATTGACAAAAAGGGGTGGAATATTGATCTGCCTCTCCAGGCCAGTGCAAAGGGTTGGGACAGAGTTTTGTTGTTTTGAATATAAAACTGGTGGTTAGTGTCCTTAAGGTACTAAGAGCAGGAGATATCCAGCCTGGTTAGGCTTCAGAATCACCTGCAGAAATGTCCAAGCCCACCAAAGACCTTCTGAATCAGAATCACACTTTAGGAACCCAGCATGGGAGAGATGAAAAGTATTCCAGTTCTTACAAGATTTTGCAATTTAATCATTAAAATCAACTATGAATGTTTAGAAATTCTTATGCCTGATACCTGCTCTGATGTTGCATATATCATTAATATATGAGTAGATGTTGAGGTATTTTTAAAGGAATATTTTTTTTTGAGAGAGAGAGAGAGAGAGAGAGAGAGAGAATTTTTTTAATATTTATTTTTTTAGTTTTTGGTGGACACAACATCTTTATTTTATTTTTATGCGGTGCTGAGGATTGAATCCAGCACCCCGTGCATGCCAGGTGAGCACACTACCGCTTGAGCCACATCCCCAGCCCAGGAATAAATTTTTAAAGTACATATAAGAATGAACAATTTAATCTTTTGTATATATGGTAAGAAATGGGAAAAGGCCTTTAAACTTATGTTAGCCAGAGAGATGCTGAGCTTTCAAAAATTCAGAAATAACATGTAACAACAAATCCCATCATTAGGTACAGCTGTAATGTACCAATAAAAATGTAGAAAAAAAAGAAAACTATTTCAAAAATAAAACAAGTCTTTAAAAAATATTATATTGAGATTAGAGGTTTTAAAAGCATATCATCAAAAGAAAAACCCTGTCCCATCACATTTATTTATTCTAATTGACTTAGAAGCTAAATATTACATAGAAAATATTTGGCAACCTTTGGTTTGATTGTCCTCTTTTAATTCCTTAAAATTTCCAGTGAGGAAATGCTAAAATTTAAGTTATACTTTATGTAGATAATATAGTTAATATAACTTAAAACTGAACATTCGACTCAAGATGCTTTATGTACGTATAAGCATCATTGCTGCCTTCAGGGAAGCAAGATTCCAAATCTAAGCAGGAAAATATATTTTGAATTGTTCTATTGAAGATAGGAGTAGTGACGTTTGCCTGTAATTACAGCAACTTGTGAGGCTGAGGCAGGAGAATAGCAAGTTTGAGGCCAGCCTGGGTAACTTAGTGGGACCCTGTCTCAAAATAATAATAATAATAATAATAATAATAATAATAATAATAGAGATGTA